GACTGAGCCACCCGGGCACCACCCCCCCCCCCAAAAAAAATAATATTTAATAACAAGAGGCAAGAAAGTGTGTGCAGTGACCCTGTTTCATTGTGAGAAGTTCATCTCTGGGAACTTTGTGTGGTTTGGAAAGTCACACAGATAAATAAGCCCGTTGTTGGGAGAACGAGGGCGTGGGGCAGGCTGGAATGAGGAAAGCCACAACCAAAAAGAGTGTGAGATTGCTCTGGGTGAGAGGATTTTTAAGTTGTCCCCTGTGTGGCTGAGGAGGGAGGTGGTCTAACGAGCCCGGGGGCTTGGGAACACCTTCCAAACAGCATGCCAACCTGGACCACTGACCCACACTATCACCAGAGGGAGAAATAAACTATGTTATTATTCATCCTGAGTGTTTGGGAGGCTCTTTGTTACAGTATCCTAGCCAACACACTGCGCTGGGACACAGCCGTGAACGTGAACCCGGCAGGCAAGATCTGGAAGCCTTGGTCAAGCTCGGTTTAGTGGCAGATACAAATGTTAAACAAGGAGACAATCAAACTGCAAACTAATCAGGGCATGAGCCGAGGAGTGGCAGAGAAAGAAGGTGCCCCCTGATTTAGGCAGTGGTCATGAAGCACCTTTGAAGAGATGGTTGTTTTTCGCTTTTTAATCACGTCTACCTTATTTTAAAATGTCATTGTGATGTAACAAGACACTGACTTATTGCACATTACAGACTTATTATCCCCCCCTTTGTGCAATCTTAGAATATATTTCATCTTCAGATGAATACAAAACCCTGAAAACATAACACCCCTTTTGGAAAATACAGGCATGCAAATGACAAGGTTAACTGCAGAAATGCACCAAAGAGGAATAATAAATGGCATGGATACAATATTTCAATATTAGTTAATATTAGTTAAATCGGCATAATATTGAAACCAGGCCCTTTAAGTTCTAGTAAGCACTCTATTTCCATTCCAGTCCCTTGCAACAATAACAACAATATTAGCTAGTGTCCTTTAAACTCTTAAGAGTGCCAAGCACTATTACACATATGCAATGTGGTTTATTATCTGCTTTATTGATAAAGAGATGATTTATTTCTTTATTTTTATTTTAGAGAGAGAGCACGCTAGTGGGGGAGAGGAGCAGAGAGGGAGAGAGAGAAGAAATCTTAAGCAGGCTCCACACCCAGCATGGGGCTCGAAGGGGAGCTTGACGATGGGCAGATCAACCAGGAGATCAATCCCATGACCCTGAGTCATCAATCCCATGACCCTGAGACCCTGCACCGAAATCAAGAGGGGGCCGCTCAACCGACGGAGCCAGCCAGGTACCCCGATGAAGAGATTATTTTCAAAGTTTATTTATTTATTTGAGAGAGACAGGGACAGCACAGCCGGGAAAGGAAGAGATGATGTTTCAATGAGCGGAAGACATGGCAAGTGCAAAGACTAGAGGCCAGGTGGGGCAGGAGAAGGTAGTGTATGTTTTATTCCTACCACAATGGGAAACTGCATACCAGGCAGAGTCCCAATAGGATAGAGCAGACCCATTCAATAGGGTTTAATGAAAAGAGTTCAGCAAAGGGGCGATTTACCCCGGTGTGTGGGCATGGGGAGGATGGTGTTGTAAGGAAATCAATGGGCTGGTGCAGTCCCTGGGCTGCCAATAGTGGGGAGCCACTAACCCCGAAACCTGAAGTAAGGAGGGAGGGGGAGCGGTTTCCTAGAAGCAACAGGAGACTCAGTGATGGGGTGAGGGCCCCCCCGGTGAAAAGCTGTGGCTAGAGAGACACAGTCACTGCCGAAACTGGGAGTAAGTCAGGGAAATACCCCAACTTTTCTCTCCTCCCACCCTCTGACGCCCATCGGTGCCTCCCATTGGCCGAAACCAACTGGGAGCCAAAGACCAAGGATGCCCGGGTGATGGCATCCAGGGGGACCAGCTTTGTGGGGGGTACACAGAGCAGGTGAAAACTGTGGCCAATGGATCTGGGAGGTGGGGGCTAAGTGGAGAATAACCAGAGGTGTTCTAGATGACCTTGAAGATCTCTCCAGCCCTCTCTGAGCCAACTCTGTAACAGAAATGGATTGGACTCGAAAACTTCCCCTCTTGCTAACACTGGCTGCAAGCATCTTGTTGTTCTTGAGCACTTAACAGGGACTGTCACTGTGGAAACCTGATACTCAGGGTTGGTCACCGGTACCTACCATCCAAACCACCAGCCCTGGAGCGGGTCCAGCCAGGTGACCAGGTGATGCCCAAAGGTGGAGAAATCATGGCACCTGTGAGATCCCCTGGCCTCGGGCTCCGCCAGATCAGGTTGGCGGGGCCCCTGGAGACCAGCAGAGAGATTTGGACAGCCTGGGAAGGATGAAATCATTACTCCCATCTCTGGGCTCCTACGGGTTTGCTCTGCCAGGGAGGACTGGCCCTGAGGGAGTTCCACAGCCACGAGAACTCATTAGCTCACAGTGCTGCCTGGATACTCACTCCAGGGCACGTGCAGCCAACACGAAAGCACACGGGCACCCAGATTCTCCCTCAACTGCACACATGGAGGGAGGCACAAACACCCCACAGCTACAGGCACACCCCCAGGCATGTACACACAAATGCACAGACACAGGCACAGATGCTCACAGGCAGACACGCACCAGCCGTGTGTTCGGCCACGGCCCAGCCCACGTCCGGCCACCCTGCTGATTCTTCGACCCTTCCCGCCTCAGTTTTCCGGATGGTCCCAGGATGAAGAGGGCATGCCCCGCCATATGCTCCTGTGGATCCCTGAACCGCCCTGGAATGGGTCGTCTTCTTCGTCACTGTCCCTCTGCCCCAGAAGGGGAAGTTCCTGGAACACAAATATTGAAGGAAGAAAGGAAAGAGGGAGGAATGGGGAACAAATGGAGGGAGGCAGAGACCTAATCGTGATAAAGATGCGACAGTATGATGTAAATATGCCAGGGTCCATTCAGGATTTGTTGGGCCCGGTGTTTAT